TATAAATAGAACTCTATATGAAATAGCATCTCGTTAAAAATTAAGCTTGATCTCACAAAGATATAAATATGCAATATATAAAACATATTCCTCACTTCAACTTTAATTCCACTACTCCATATTGCACTACTACGTAAAAGTTGAACCTCACATGTTCCCTTGAATCTGGATTCATCACGAGTGCTAACATATTCACCCTTCGGTAACAAAAATGGCAAGGTTTCACGTTCAAATGATTTTTCTTCTTTTATGAAATTCCATCTTTGAACAAAATGTCGAGCAACGTCACGAGCTGGTTGACCGACCTAATAATCATAATTAATTATTAGTTGCAATCATATGATAAAAAAAACCTTATTCATGATAACTTGCCATGCCAATAGAAACATCATGCCAAGGCATACGTGGATAACGAGATTTATCAACTATTTCATTCTCATGCTCCTTAACTATTGGTTGTTAGTTTATGTCAAAGATAATTATTATGAATTAATGAAAACACGAGCGTACGTACAAATTACATTTATTGATATTCGACAAATATCCCGATCCCTTACCATTTTGGAAATCTTTTATTCTTGGATTTGAATAATCTAGACCGGGCCATATAGTTGGGCCATCCATATTTTGAGGCCAGTCAGATAGCTCATGAGAATGAGTATCATAACGTCCAAAACATAAATCTAAACCACCAATAAATGCTATACGACTGTCAACTACCACCATTTTCTAAAAAATTTAAGCGATAATAAATCATGCTTATCTAATAAAAAGAATTATGAAATTACTAATAATAAAATTAGATTAGTCACTACCTCATGATGCTATATAAATAATATTAATAGTATTAATAGTGATATGTAATAAAGTACATTAATAATGTTTAATAAACTTGATAAAATAACTTACCGCCCAGAATATTACTCCTTCAATACCATGATCAGGATGCCTTTGTACTAAAAGGTTTTACATATATGAATTTAAATAGAGATAATAAATATATAACGTTCAATTTAATACAAACCTTTAATATTTTTATGCAAACCCTGAAGGTAAAATTTGGTATGATGAGAATCCAAAGGTAAAGCAACAGTAACTTCTTTATATACAATAATGTAAATCATCACGCCTTCTTCGGCCTTCTTTTTTAATAATCTATCTAGTCGAAACTCTTCATTTTCAGAAGGTGGCCTGCGAAGATACTTATTAAAAAATCTATAATTAGTATGCACATTTAAAAGAAAATCTTTAAAATCAATTATTAAATAACAAAGCTCACCAATTCAGGCGATAGCCACCAGTCTTCAATATAAATTTCTGATTTTGCAGCCAATAAAGCCTGTGACACAGCAAAGAAGTAATCTTTGCCATCGACATACCATTTAACTCTTGCATTCTCTCTAAT